TTCTGAGGGAGGAAGTCTCAATATTGTGGAACTGCCCAAATATTTGGGATTGCTAACCATTGGTGGGCTAGGATCATAAAAAATGGCTAAGAAATAAGAAAAAGCAGCATTACATGAAACACACCAAAGACAGGCAGCACCACCCAAGCTCCTTTGTCTCAGTGCATTGATAAAACCACCCAGAGTCTTGAAAAGTACCACATCTTGCAGAAGGGAGCCCGTAACTTGCCCTTGTACTTCTCGGCTTCCTCATTTTTTTGTATAAATGCCTGAATGTTATTTCACACTATCTCAGATTTTTCCAACCTCTCCATGGSAATTACACAGCAGGGCTGTGCTCTAATTCAATAATTTCCATATTCTTTGCACTGTGCTGTGTCTTGTTCATTTCTTTTTCACAACCTATGTCCAGAGAGCTGCTGTGAGCTGGGACTTTACATGCTACTCCCCTATACTGCGTGATAAGTTAAACTGCCTGTATGAAACCATTGAATTATTTGGGTTTTGATTTCATTTAAGTCTGTCCAGCAAGCCAATGAACAAGAGAGATTTTTTGAAAACAGATCCAGATTTCATCTTTCAAAAGCCTTCATACATTATTATGACATTAGTACTTGAGGGCATTCCAACTTTATTTCAGTCTTGTTTGGAGAAAGAAAAGGCATATGGAAATGATTAAAGGTTACTCYTATAAAACAAAGAATAGAAGAAATGAATACAAGTTTTAGTCTGTAACAAAAGCTCCAGTGAACCAAAACTGTATGATAGTCTAGTGAAGGATCAGTCACATTAAAAAAAAAAWGGCAGCACATATTTTGAAAGTATTAGACGCATACAGAGACAGGGGAGGGAGGGAATTGAGTGTATAAAATATACATATATGCTTACCTATGTGGAGATATAYATACCTAAGTGTAAATATATATAAAYGTGTTTCCAAAATCTTGTTTTCTRTTTTTGTGGCTTTTTCCTAGTTCTCAGCAGAAAAAATGTGGAGTAGAATTCTGTCCTCTTGTGCTTTTAATGAGGTGAGGATTTCTGTTCCACATTTCCACTCAGTTACAGGTCAGAATTCAATCTTGGTGTTTGTATCGATTATGTGCAAAGGATGTGAATACAGAGGAAGCTGAGATAGCCCAGATTAAAAACAGTAAAATGTGCTAGTAAAAATGAGCCTGTAACATTATATGCCAAATCCTCAACGACTTTCTACTTCCGTTTTTGCAACCATTCTACTTCATTATGTGKGGCTGTATTTGATATGTAATTTCCTTCTATTCATGTGAGACATGGTAAACAGAATTCGTTTCTGAAAGCTTTTCTGCCTGAATGGACTGAACTTTTTGCATAATATTTAAGTACATCTGACAAAAACATGACTTGAAACCTGAATATTTGCTACAGATATATTTTGTCATAAATGGTCTCATAAAAAGCAGCAACAAACCTCCTATGGATAAGACAGTRTTTGGCCAGAATAATTGTGAAACGTACATTATTTATGGATATCCTTATATTACAATAATGTCCTTCAGTCTTTTTAACTCAACAGTTTCTTGAGGAGATTGCATTTTTCAAAGAGTGATCTGGGTTTGAAGCCAAATTCTGTTCCTGCTGAGTATTTCCAATTCACACGTGTGTTGAACACTGACCCTCCAGAACTAAATAGTCCTCTTTGTTATGGAACAAAGTGCTGCCATTGAAGAACAAGGGGATTAAATGGGAACCCAAAACGGTGTCATCATCAATTCTATCTTAAACCTCTCCTGCATTTTTAGAAGTTTGAGGTTGTTTTGGGGATCTTTTGCATGAATGTTTTTCTGACACTAATGGTTTCRTACCTGTATTTTTCTACAATTTGACTACAATCCAACTAATAATCCTAACATAAAACTTCCCTTTGAAAATGGGAAGACCTGATTTTAAAGCCATTTGCTCAAGGCCCATGTATTCAGACTATCTAGCAAGTCTACTGACAAGTGAGGAAGAAACACCACTTCTTTGTGATTGAAGGGTCAAAACCTCTGGAGAGTGTCTTAAACAAAAACAAACCTGTGTTAACTGAGTTTTCAGCTTCTAGTTCTAAGACATTGCACARAATTGCCTTGCTTTAAGATGGTTCACAAATGTAGCCATAGCAGCCCAAATTTAGCCTGGGTTGCCAAATATCTGCAGGAACTTGATTTGTTAACCTGCTCTGAAATCCTCATGGCTSTACCTAGGCTGTCACTGGTTTAGGGCTGCTTTAGGTCAAGTTCTGTGCAAACCTGCCCTCGRCTTGTAATGGGATTTCTGAAGTGATCGCAAACTGCTGGATCAGCAGCAGTGATTAAAGGCCAAATGTTTCTTTTGCCTTTCAGAATCTTCATCAAGAACTTGAGGCAAAATTTTATGAAGACACTTTTGACTGGGACCAAGTGCGAAATAACGATGCAGCGGGACTGCTGAAAATGTTTATAAGAGAACTCCCAAGCCCACTCTTCACAGTAGAATATCTGCCTGCMTTCATCACACTAGTAGAAAGTATGTGGAAATGGAGTTAATGTGGACTGATAATATGATAAATGCAAGAGTAGATGTTACTTTTTTCTCTCTCTCTCTGCAGTATATAGCGAAAAATAATGTAATTTATTTTTTTCTCTCCCTGAAGTAGGGAGAAAAACAAGCCCAGTGCTTTGCCTAAATGTTTTAATTTTCTGCARGATTTTGTTTTCAAATGAAAAAATAGGTCTGCATTTAGCTAATAGCATAGGTTTGTTGTGTGAATAACACAACTGTTTAAAGTAAAATTTGAAATTTGTGAGTAAACAMTGACTGAGCAATGACTTTCATATATAGACTCTGATTCACATTAATTATAGGTTTCAAAAAGTYCTGCAAGGCAAACTCAAATCACTGACCTTTATCTGATATTCTACTGGATTTATTTCATTTCTCTTAAGGTTTATGTGGAGGTCAGATCGTTGGTACAGAGATATGTGTGAGCACAGAAAGGTGCAGGCAGTTGGGTTTTGTTTTCAGTGTACATACGCCCTCTCAATCTCAGTACATTTTGTTCATTTCTCTTCCAGGAAGAATGCARTTGTACCTTGCCATACCTATGACTTCACTGTAAAGTCACTTGAGCTAGGGCAGACTAAAAATCTCAGGATGGTGAATTTATTAGCAAATTGGTGCAGAAAACTGAGGATTTTTACATGAGGTTACAGCCATGCTTTCAGTGACTCCATGAGTGGTTTAAAGGGCAGAAGAAGGTGATGCCTTTCCAATCTCCTTCACATCCCTGAGTGTGCTCCTTGTCAGGCTGCATGCAGTTAAATGGCTCAGCAGTTTGGAGAAGGCTGGGCGGGAGATGTCGCTGCAGAATAGTGACTTTATTCCCTACAACAGGTATACAGATATCTAAGAGAAACACTAGTACTGAAAAATACTGAATTGTTACTATGTAGACAGAATTTTACAGAGCCTTGTGTCACCGTGTGACAAAGATCCAAGATCATGAGGAAAAACCCACTCTTTAGGTTGATTTTATATTTGGGGAAAAGTGTGTGATTGATCAGCAGTAGGCATGCCATTCTCAACCAGGMACTAGTTGGTATTTGTAGAACTGCTGATACATAAGGATTTTAGGACAAAAGAATTGCAGTTGGGATTTCAAAAATATTAAATATTCATATCCTTAGAAATCTCCAAGATCAAGTTACAACTACAAGCTTTGCATCTGTTGATCATGCTGATGCCTGAAGCCAACAGAGACACAGCCAAGGTAAGCTCCTCATTTGTTATCACCTGCCATCTGTGGTGCTTTTGACTTTTAAATGAGAGACTCTTTTTTTCAGATGCTGTACCAGAAAAGTATTCTTCTGTGTTTTGATCATTTCCTTGAAAAGTAGTTCAAGTTCCCTGGCTGTCATTTCTTTTACAAGCAATTAAGAAATATTTGCTGGGGGTATCCAACCATTATATCTCAGGCATCATTTATTATGAAACACCCTTTTCAAAGAGGAAACATTCAAAGAGGAACATTCTTTACTTAGTTTGGACAAAGGAGGTCCAGTTTCTGGGTTTTCTGTATAACTGAAATCCTCYAGGATGGATTTAAATAGGAAGCTGCCCTCTGGGAGGTTGCCTAGTGCATTCCTGGTACTGGAAGGGCTTCCAGGGTGCTGCAGGACCAGGCTGCAGGAAGTAGTCAAAAGTTAAAAGATACATTTGTAGCACAGATATCAGGAGCTCACCCTCATCTGGCTTGCCTTACAAACCCATGCCCATCCCCATGTGCTTCTTCCTGATATAGACACAGTGGTTACAAGCATTTTGGGTGCTTGGCAGCTCCCACATCTGACTGCAGCTAAGGGACACTGGCTGCATCCTTGGGCTTATTTCTGTGCAAAGGAAACCTGTGTGAAGAAGGTTCCTGGGGACCCCCATCAGGTCCCCTGCTCCTAAGGACCATGCAGATCCCCCTCTAAAAGTCTTTCACTAGTCAGTTGAGATACAACTTTATGAGTTCTTTAYCTGTATTTATTTGTACAGTAAAAAGGGACAAGAACAAAAACTGTCTTCAAAGCACCTGGAGGTCTAACAGGGCTCTGCAAAGAATGGGAGCTTTTTCTGCTGCCAGAGTTCATTTTGGTGTGGAGATTCATATGTAAAACACGTGCTAGAGGAGTAGTCTTTATTACTAGGCTTGTGCACAAAAATAGAAGTGATAACAAAACTCTCTATGCAGCTCCACTCTCTCTATAATGAAATTTTAGAAATTTCTCTAGCAAAGTTTGTATTTTACAATTCTTAGGTTTGAAAAAATGTTTTAATTACAGTGTCTGGTTACCAAGACAGTGGTTGAAATGGTAYGGTTCTCATGGTTTAACCCAGCAGGCAGCTAAATACCTGTCATGGTTTAACCCCAGCCAGCASCCCATCCCATGYAGATTCTCTCTCATTCCCTCCTCAATGGGATCAGGGAGAGAATCAGAAGGGTAAAAGCTGGAAAATTCATAAGTTGAGATAAATAMAGTTTATTAGGGAAAMCAAAAGCTGYGGCTGCATGCAGGGCARACCAAGGAACTCACCACTTGCCRTGGGTAGGCAGGTGTTCAGCCATCTCCAGGGAAGCAGGGCTTCATCACGTGTAACAGTTACTTAGGAAGACAAACSCCATCACTCCAAAARTCYCCCCTTCCTTCATCTTCCTCCCAGCTTTCTATACTGAGCATGATGTYRTATATCTGGAATATTCCAYTGGTCACCTGTCCCAGCTGTGTTYCCTCCCAGCTTCTCAYGCACCTCACCAGTGTGGCAGTACAAAAAGCAGAAGTGGCCTTGGCTCTAAGCAAGCYCTCCTCAGCAACAGCAAAAATGTCTCTATGTTATTAGCAATGTGTTCAGCACAAATCCAAAACACAGTCCCGTACCAGTCACAATGAAGAAAATTAATTCTACCCCAGCTAAAGCCAGCACAGCACCCCAAAGCCATTCCTTTGTTTCTCTCTGCRCACAGGGGAAATTTTTTTATTTGGTAAAAAAAACCACTCATGGGTTGAGATAAAAACTATTTAATAGGACATAAAAGGAAAACAATAATAAATTAATTAGAACACGCAAAACAAGTGATGCATATGCAGTTGTTCACCACTCACTGACTGATGCCCAGCCAGTTCTTGAGCAGTGGGTCCAGACTAGTTTTCCCCACAGTTTGGATACTGAGCATGACACTGTATGGTATGGAATATCYCTTGGATCAGTGGGAGTCAACTCTCCAGGCTGTGTYCCYTCCCAACTCCTTGTGCAGCCCCAGCCCCCTTGCAGGCAGGGCAGCTTGCGAAGCTAAAGATTACACTTGACTGAGTGTAAACACTGCTTAGCAACAACTAAAACATCAKTGTGTTGTCAACATTATTCTTATCCTCAATCCAAAACACAGCCCTGTACCAGATACAAGGAAGAAAATTAACTGTATCCCAGCTGAAACCAGARCAATTGCAGAAGGACTCATGGGGAGACTGCAGCTCTTACCATAGCTGCAGTCTATGCTATTCAGTCATTCAAGCAAAATTCTGAATAAACTACCCAAAARGGGAAATTAATTTCCTTTGACCCTSCCAAGCATRTGCAGAAGTCRCATCAGTGAAYAACCACTGAGTTATTCTTGCTTCTATTTCTTTTATTCTTCTATGCCAGAATAAAACTTTGGGTTTTGCTGGCAGAGATTCTTCAGGTTGTATTAGATGTAGGACTGGTGCACATTTGAAGAGAGACTGATCACCACAGTGACACTGTGCTGCAAAAAGCATTGGTCAGATACATCAAAATGGACTCGTGGTAATCTATGAAGAAAACACCTATTCCCTTGCAATACATGCACATCATACCTCTGCTATAGGATTCAGAGCCTTAGTGTAGACACTGTATTTGCCTTATAAATTTGGGATTGTGCCCCATGCGATAGATTATTTATTAATGTGTACTTTGATAACATTAACTGTTCCTCTGTGGTTGACACTGGTTGTTGTACCAACAAATATCAGAGTAATCCAAATACAATGAAAAAAAATGCTAAATTTCACCTTCTAAGTGCAAGTATAGCAGCCAGACGTGCAGTTGAAAATGCTGCATTTCAGAAGTAGATTTTTTCCTGAGACTAAAGAAGTATTCCATTTTTTTCCAGGCCTTTCTTCAGTTCCTGAAGAAGGTGGTTGCTAATGAAGGGAAAAACAAGATGAATTTGTGGAACGTGTCTATGATTGTTGCACCCAAYCTCTTCATCTACAAAGGGAAACGTGCAAACCAACAAGAAATGCAAGCAGCCGCCACCACCGCRCACATTGTGCGGCTTTTAATTCGGTACCAGGACATCCTGTGGACAGTGAGTGGTTCTGGGTCCCCTTTGTGGTTCCACAGCAGGACGGAACCTGCTATGTGCAATTCTGCAGAAATCAGAGTAAACTCACCTTCCAAGGAGAAACAGTTTGTTTGGAAACTGACTGGAGTCTTCTGTATCTTGAATGAGATGCCCTAACAGATATTTCTGGATTGAGAGTTATCTCACTTATCTAAGTGAGCTATTTTAGCACCAATTGCCTTCTGGAGAAACCTGTCCCACATCACTATTTACACTGAATAATGCATAGAAGAATGATTCCATCTAGATGCCTAGTTGATATGTCTAAACTAGATTGAGATTAAATGTCTGTTTAAAGTGYAGCCCACAATAAAATGGGCCAGAGRTGTGTCCTGTAYGTAYTACTTSTTGGCTTCTGAAGTTTGACATGAAGATATTGACAGTCTCAGCTTGTTTCCTCGTAGCAGAGTAGGGGTATGATGGGCATTGCAAAAATTACCTCATAATAAAGTTCCTGCAGCTGCAAACATCACCATAAAGTTTCTTACGGCATGARAGATGATTTACAGTTTCAGCAAAGGAATAACTGTAGGTTGTTAGAGGAAGCTACTGATTGCATGCATCTTCTAGGAATAAACAGATTTTCCACTGCCTAAAATTTGGACTCAGCACACTGGGGGAAAATTATTGTACATTCTCAGCTCTGATTTCCTCCCTTTAGGTCCCATCATTCCTGATTTCCCAAGTGAGAAAAATGAATGAGGCAGCAATGAACAACAGCAAGAGACAACTGATGTTYGACAAAGGAGTGAGAAAGCTTTTGAGGAGAAAGACCATGGAACGGGAGAGACCTGAAMGACCAGAGGTGTGATAAAAAGATACATTTTTCAAGGGTAGCTTTAAACAGCCTCCCTCCTTTATCTCATGAAAGATTCTGGGTGTAGGGAGGAAATTTTGTCATGCAAAATAATCTGGGTTTGAAAGTTATCTTAAAGGTGTGCTTCCCAGTCAAACACCCTGATAGGACAAAGCTTTGTGAATGATTAAAAGGTGAGGAAGACAGAATGATTTCCAGCAGCCAAAGCTGCAAGCTGTTTACAAACACATGCTGGTTTTTAACCTGTTTTATAAGAAAATGGTTATATGTGSACTGTCCCTGACAGCAATTATTTGTAGATATTCAACAAGTGCATGGATCTGAAGCCGAGTAGTAGGATGATCCATATTAGGATTAATTGTATTTAGCCATGCCTGGTACAGGCCACTTGATAGTCTACTTGCAAGCTTCAGTGTTTCAGCTTTGCACTAACTTCCTAAGCAGAGAGAAAATTCAGTTTGCCTGCCATAGACACCTAAACTGGGTCTGAAYGTTAAATGCCCTATGAAGTAGATTGTGTTGTTATTCCCTTTATAGTCACAGGGGAGAGGTGGAAAATACTTTTGAGGATTTCCAAGGCTCCAGCAAGACTAACTTCAGCAGAAATCAGGAATCAGTCTTCATTACTGATGATACACAAAACTAAATTGGATTAGGACTTATGAAAATCTGATAGAAAAAYTTTTCTTTGACAGTCCTAAAGCCACCAACCTTTCTCTACTGCCTAAAAAGAGAGGTTGGGCACTTWGGTGAGGTATGCTGCTTTGATAGACAACTAAAATTATTACAAATTAGGTGCAACAGACAGCTTGGGCAACAAGGCGTGTCATATCTCTATGCACAACATACACAGTACCTATAGCAATTTACATGTATTTCCATGCAGTAATTTCCTTAAATTACCTGGAGATACAGTATTTAGAGTATTCCATTAATGTTTAAAAGAATGATGACTGGTGAATTGTAAAGAAAAGTAATCAAGGAAATGGTAAAAGACTCCATAGTTGTTAAAGAACAGTCCTGAAGAGCAAAAGACAAGACAGATTTGGAAGGAATGATAACACAAGGTTATAAGAAATAGAGAATGAGACACATGATACACCCAAGAGGGAAAATGCAGAAGGTAATGTATGGAGAAAAAAGTAGAAAAAATAAATATTATGTATGAATGGTGAATCTATTTTAATTCACCTTTCTCAAGAATTTGCCAGCACTGACTGAAATATTTTAGGTAGGGTAAGACACACATTGGTGCTGCAGATGGAGACAGAGATATTTGTTTAAAATGGCAGTGCCAGCTACTGTGTTACAAAGTTAAATTCAGCCTGGGGTGAACATGGATAGACTCCTTCTCTGAGGAGAGTCAATTACTGCAGTCATTGCACCTTCGGGAAGGCAAGTCCATTGATCGGAGTAATTGGCTTTACATCTAATAAAAATGAGGGTAGCCATGGCAAGGAGCTGAAATAAGAAGGGTAAATTGGTGGCAAACTCTGTTTGGATAACTGAGTTTAATGTTGAGAGCACTTAACGCAACCCCCAGGTCTCAGATGTTCTAAATTACGCAGAGACAGAGACTGGAGAGACTATTGTGTTCTGGTCAGCATGGTATTAACTGGATTAGAACTGGAATGCAAACCTTGCTAATTGACTTATCCACCGTTAATCATGGAAGAGYGCATAAACTTCATAGATGATCATTTGAACCCTACACAAGGTCAAATTTCAAATTAACAGAAACCATATGGTACTTCAATGTTTTACTGTACACACTCTTCGATCTAGTTGAAGCTACAGGAAGCATAAACAGAGAGCTGGATCTTTATGCCTCAGGAGAATTTCATCTTTAGAAGGAAGAACAGATACTCTTAATAATTTTTATGGTTTTAAATAAGCAGTTGGTTCACYGACCAATGTTAACAGAAATAAGTTAAAGTTACAGTTCAAGGGCTTTACCCTGTATTTATGTGATACTTACCAAAGAGTTTGTGTCTTTGTGTTGTATCTGATTTGGTTCTACAAGTTTGCATTCGTATGACTGTAAATGTCTTTTGAATAACCAAGTGAATGCAGGACAGCGATTTTTGCAAGCAACCTCAAATGAGGTTGCAGAACSGCTTCCAAATGGAGCTAGAGCAATATTTGCCTTGGACTCACTCTATTGAATATTGATTTTAGGGAGCTGTCACTTTTCCTCCATACTTGCAGTCTGACATACCCGAGGGGGTGATAAGAGTTTATGCTCCGCTGCATTCAAAAGTCTCTATGGCGATTCAACTCAACAGCCAAACAAAAGCCAAAGACATCCTGGCTCGATTCCACTGTGAAAACAGGTGGGTAAAGCAGAACATTTTGTTTTTGCTGAAAAACAATGTCAGAGCTATAAATGAATAGATTGTTCCCTCTTCAAAGATTCATTGTGTTACAAGAACTCTTTTTCTAATCCAAAATTGCTAATTTATGATTATGTTGGTCAATGAAATTTTAACCACTGATCTTTTTATTTTTCTTAAAAATTGTTTCCTATAATCAATTTGCTCTCCCTTACACCAYTACTAAAAATGTACATTAAACATATTTTATAGATTTGCTGTATAGAGAACCTAAAGGGATCATTTTACATCTGTCTATAAGTCTAAAATGTTTTTATTTCTGTAACATAATAATTATGAACAGTTATGGGAAATGGGAAATCGTATCTGAAAGTTTTCTGCAAAGTCTTCCCATGTTACCACATAATTCAGTTCTTYGAATAAATAATATAAAATAAGCAATAGAGAAGTTTTAATTAACTGTGAGGCATTAATCTGTCTCTGTAGCAGATTCATTATTCTGCAGTGSTCCATTTGGTAGAAGTTGTTGGTTTTGATAAGGCAGTTCACAGAGGACAAAACACCAAATTTTAGCATAACATAGATGGGGGGTGATAAGGCAGTGATTATAAAAGAAAGGTTATAATAGAAAGATAACCTGAAAGGTTTTTTTCTATTCTAGTCATGGATCTTCACAGAACGTGAGGGGCCAGATCCAAAGTTTACATGAAATTGGAGGAAATATAGGTAGGTCTGAATTTTGAAAACTAATTCTGAATGTTCTTAACCTCCTAAAACACCTCAGGATAGCGCTATTTTACTSAGCTGGGCCTCTCCTACCCTCCAGTTCATTTGGAGGAAAGGAACCTGGCCCAAAAGCTGTTAAAATCAATGTCATTATTTATCCCAACTTTGGCATGTCTGGAGGGGCACCCCACAGAAGAGACTGACCCCAACAGCTCGATCTCAGCAGCTCTCCTTACAGTCTTGCCAGATTTATCTGACCTTTTGCTTACCTCTCTCACTCTCGTAATTGRGCATTTTTCCATAGTTAAGAGATCCTTAGTCTTCCTCTTGAAAGCACATTCCACCTTGCTGTCAAGCCTTTTTCCGAGACCTCTTTCTTTCTTACTGTCTCCGAGTGCTACCCTCCTGCAAATGAAAACCCAGGGAATTGAGAATTCAGCCCCTGCATTTGCAGTGTTCTATACTCATACTAATCCATGTGCTTTATTTTGATTGCAAATTCCTTGCAATAGGGCTTTTGTCTTCTTCTGTTTYGTGCAGTGACACTTCTTACAATAACAACAACAGTGACTTGCCCCACAAGTTTCAGGCCTAAAGGTCAAAAACCAGATTTTAATTTGATATTGCACAATCCTGGCTCTCTTYTTTCTCCGTTCATACCAGAATTCCGGATGCTCTGTTGGAGTCAGTTGTGAATTATCTGATTAGATTATTCCTTATTTCTTCTAGATTCAGCTCAAAAGAATTTCTGTAAAGTTATTACAAAACAGCAAGATTAACTTCAGCAGCAATCAGGAATCAGTCTTCATTACTGATGATACACAAAAMTAAATTGGATTAGTGACTTGTTTTGCCTGTCTAAACAGGATGACCAACTGATGCTAAAACAGAAAAAAAATCCTAAARGCCTTGTGAAACAATCRCAAATATTCCCACCATGGTCTTTCAAAAAAWTGGGACATTTAATTTGCATCTTAATTTAAATTTATTTTTATAGTCCTAGATCCTTCAGGGTACCTTAGTCCACTGATTATGCATTAATTCATTTATATTGCTTTCACTTGAATAAAATCGTTAAGACCCCAGTGACCTTATAAGTAACTGTACAAAAATTTTGTCATAATCTTGTGTCACAGCAAAGTAACCTCACCAGTTAAATTACTTCATTACCCCATGTAAATGCAATATAGTCCAACAAATCAAATTAACTCTAGAATTTATTGCCTTATTACTCAACTAAGAGGCACAAAATGCCTCGTTCTGGCAAAGGCAGCCGCAACTTCCCAATCACCAGCTAATGAAACAGGAGTTCAGATGATTTTTTTTTTAAACCAACAAATGGCCACTCCCAAAAACCTTGATACAGTTCCTGCATTTCTTTACAAGATCCTACTGGATGGAAACACATTGTTTACAGTGCTATTTTTCAGCATTTAAAAATAGTGTAGAAGAGAAGTCAGAGAGTTGTAATTCCAGCTCAGTAAATCCACAGAAATAAAACCCCCATACTATAGCACACTAACAGTGTTGTTGATGCTTCTAAAGAAACCATATTCACCATTTAACTAAATATCTTGTCCATAACTCAGTGTAATGCACATCCTGCCTGGAAGTGAAAGTGAATTCATGACTCTCACAGACTAAAATCACTGGCAAATTTACCAAATGCCCTCTCTGTGTCCAGGCAAGATGTTAGCTGGATGGACGCACCAAACTGGGCTTGCTGTGTGCCAGTCAGAGAAATGTTTAAAGACATTTTAATGCAGCTCTACTCCCTATGTGCTCAAAACATCCTATGATTCACGGCTGACAATTTCCTTTTCAGGTCAGCACTGTTTGGATCCAGATGCGTTCATGTTAGACGTGTACCGTGCAAATCCTCAGGCGGAATGGGTGATAAAACCAAAAGCCAGCTGAAGAAGAAGGCAGCAGCGTACTGGATAAAAGCCGATGGACAAGAGTGATGTCTGTTGTTTCAAGCAGCTCTTGCAGAGACAAAACAAAATGGTAGCTACAGGACATCATTCCTTCCTACTGAACTGTCCAGCTGATGGTCAGCACACAGTACTTTCGGTATTCCAGCTTCCGAACCATCAGAAAAATATCACGTTAGTTATGCTTTCATATGGATCACACTTGTGCCAGTTGGCCCAGGAGGTGAGGAGGGCAGACCAAGGTACGGTGCACAGAAAACAAACTGTCACGTTTGAGTTGTTCGTTTCCTGACCTGGTGTCAGAACACAGATTTGTGGAAATAATCCAGAGGCGTCAGAGGATGAATGAAACACTACCAACCACAGCCTAATACAGAAGCACCACAGAGACATTGGACAAGATRAGGTGTCTGTCAGGCGTGGAAGACTCAACATGCAGCAGTGCCAAGACATAGCTGTGTGAAAAAAAACAAACCTTTCTGCTGAAAGTAAACCCATACAATGTGTTATTGTAACACTTACGGCTCTCAGTCACTCCTSATGAGTACCTGATACTGGGGGAGGGAGGCAGGAGGAGGAACTACAGACAGCTGTACAATCTTCCAAAATCTTGTCTGGATCCCTTACCTGTGTGCAGTTACAATGCCACAAACCATGYTCTTCTTTCCCCTGTCACACAAGTTTCAGGAGACAAAGGCTACGTGGTTAGGGGCATAGGCCCCTAGCTCTGCCTGTTACTTGATACTCTCAAAATTCTAAATCTGTGTTATGCCAGACTATGAGATGYTTTAATGGTGCCACTTACAGTCATCACCTTTTTTGTTAAACATTATAGTTTGTAATCTAGTTATTTTTATTTTGTTTATTTTAGCTTTAATATGTAAGCAATTTTTATACTCTTCAGCTGCATCGACAACAGAGATCTTTGTTCAGGTCTTGTATAATACAGCATGGAGAAGAAAAAGAGCTTCCTATGAGAAAAGGGAAATAATTTACGCATTAGGTCTTTAAAACCATATCCAAACAAGGCCCAGTTGTGCTGGGGGTTTTACAAACACGCAGCAAATTGCAGCTGGCATGCAGTCTAAGAARACACACAGGCTGACAAGAGAACAGTGGGCTGCAGTGGAAATGTCAGATAGGATGTCTGGCTTGGAGCTAGTCACAAGAGAAAGCAATGTTCGTCACTTAATCATCTCAATTTGGGCTATGCTGAACTACAGGAGGTTTGAGTAGGGAAATCACAAATCTCTGGAAAAGACCCAAGTATTTTTTTTCTCTTTGTCATATGCAAAGAGTGGGATCCAATGTCTTCAATTGCACTGCAATGTCCCCATCATAAGATGATGATGMTGCACAATGAATCCATCCCCAGGCTGAGCAATGCTTTTTGTTCCTGATCTGGACACAGGGTTGGGACAGCAGTTCTGTTTATCACATGTAAAAGCATTCTGAACCAAGTCCTGCAGGTGAACGTAAAGTCGGCTGTCCTGCAGAGAAAGCCTGTGACTTGTGATGCTCTGCTGAAGYTGTGCAATGAGGATCTGAATGAAAAACAGAGCCTCTAAAATGTGGCAAGTTAATCATATTCTCCAGTAGTTAACTTCCATTGTTAGTGGTCAGTGACAGAAATCAACATTGAATCARTAACTCTACCAGCAACAATAATATCTACGGAAGGCAGATCCTGTCTTCTTTCTTATCTTCTTGATAAAAAAAAAAATGATAAAAATTCAGCAACATTATCCTTTCATTTTCTTTAAAACAGTGACATTTTCAAATTTCCTGCTTGTTTTTCTTGTTTTTCCTTTTTCTTCTCGATACTAAAAGAGATATAATTTTAGCCAGAAAAAAAACAAGACAGTTGTATTATAAAATACACTCCTTATTTTGACAACTATTTATTTWAAGTACACAAGAGATAGTAGATCTGTGGCTTGTTTATAGGACTGAGCATAAATGTTTTGTCATGTGCTTTGCTCCCAATGCCCTTTAGTTCCCTCTGTGGCAATGGACAGCTCTTTCTACATAGGCGGCCCTTGTCTGTCAGCTCTGAAGCAGGACCAGCACCTTCCATACAAAGGCAACGTGAGAATTGGTTAAATCCTACTCCCAGATGCAGCCAGACAATTCCCTGAGCAGATCAGGAGTTATAAAATCCATCTGGGAAGAACAAACTCAGCAAAGGGTTTTTTTTTTTTATGTGGGAAGTGCTTTGAATACAAAGAGAATCATTTAAATGCTAAGCATCGTTGTATCTGTAGCCAACTAAAAGGGGTTCTGTGACTAGACAGAATGCCTAAACATTAAGAAAATTATCTGAAATGTCATAGCAAATGAACTAATTTTCTACAATACTTTCAGACAAATACATTGACCTCCTCCATCTTGCCCACTCACTTCATTGTGTTYTCAATGGCTGTGTGAGGGAAAGGACAGAACAGCTCTGTGTTCACGCTGTTAACTAGCTCAGCATCTCCTGGACCTCATCAATATTATTTCTGAAACAGATCTCCCTGTGTTCCGCACAGGGGGGTTTTGGAAGGCTTTTACCAATTTACAACTTAGGAAAGTCAAATATGATGTAATAAAATCCACCCTGTGAGCACTTGTTTTATGCTAGAAYTGCTATAAGTTTTTAAGACATGCAYATTAGCAGATGAACCACTTTTTGCATAGAGTGCCCAGAGGACCACAGCATGGCCAAATACCAAATACCTCTTGTCTCTGAAACAGAATGTCAAAATCCGTTTTTGATACAAATACCCTAATGACCCACGTGTGGTGGTTAATACCGTTCCACATTAAGTTGTTTGTCATTGTTTTGGTACACTAACTTGATTTAATATGCAGCAGACAAATGGAACAACCTCAATGACATTTTGAAATACGAGGCTTCAACTTTAGGCCTTATATTTCAAGATGCTGATGGAGGCATGAGGAATTTTGTTCCTCCTAACAGAGGCTGAAGTCAAAACTAAGTTGCTAGAGGACTGTCACCTAACCAAAAGTAACATACATGGAAAGCTATTGTTAAGAAAGTGGTAGCAAGCAGGGAGAAATTTATTGAAACTCCAAAGATGCCTCAAGCATTTAYATACTCCATGGTTCTACAAATACAGCATTTTGCATACCAACACATAGAGAGAGAGTATTGTAAAAAATGGACTGGAATGCTTTAACCTGTGTATTCAGCTAATGTCATTAGAAAGTGTGTGTGTGTGCAAATGTGTCTGTGTCCGTGTATCATATTAACTACCTCACTCTGCATTTTCCAGGAAAAATGTTTTGGCCTAGAGGTTTACTACTTAATCTATTATCAGTTTCACATTAACACTGACAATGTATTTCTTTTTGTATGAGGCAAGATTTGAAATTACAAAAAAAAAAAAAACAACTAGTAAAATACGTATTTTGGGATATGGATGAAATTTTATCCAAACCATGTTGCCTAAATAATGCTTTTAATGTGAACCTTGTGAGATCAGATGTTGGGGTTAACAGATAATGAATACAAACACACTGTGTTTAAATTTTATTTTTCAATGGGTTTCTATTCATGTGTGTCTTTCTCTGGAAAATWATACAATGCCACTGRTGAAAGCAAAGTGTTTGTATGTACGTTTCCCTTCCAATCCTCATTATGTTGTGTGTTTTGTTGAAGTACGCCAACACGTTAGTGTATTTGTACAGCAGAGTGTGTCCATTGTATTGTATCCRTGTCAAAAATAAAAACAATACCAACAAAGCCAGCTCTTCAAATCTAAGCACGCGTGTTTTGGRTAGAAGCAGGGGGCAGAAACTACAAAAAGCAGTGGTGTAACTGTTTTTAAAAGCAACTGTGTTGTTACAGCACCTGAACAGCTGAACAGAGGACCATGTTCTGCCACCCTTGCTGAAGAGGAGAGAGCTCTTTGCTCCAGGAGCTCTTCTCTTGGACTACCTCGATGCAATGCACAAAATGACACTGCCTGGAATCCTGCATCATTGAAAGCCATGGCAAACCACTTCGRGGTTTCATTTCAGCCTTTTCAAACTAGTATGAAGTACATAAAGAAAAACGAAATAAATTCTACAAATGCATAAWAACAGCCAAATAAAATTGTGAGGARCAAACAAAAATACTGGCAATTCAAACAGATAAAAAAGAAGGAGATGAAAGTAAGTTCTTGCAAAGAACTGTGTTTATTACAGACACATAATAAAAGTATGAGACAATTTTGTCGCTGCTCAGTGATCTGGCCAGTATTGAATGGATGTCCTTATTTGATTCMGACTGGGCACATGTCCCCCAAATCTGGCTCAACAGCAACTACTGGAAGATTCATTTYAGAAACAAAAGGCAGATACAGTAAGAAAAGACAAAGATACAACTACAGACTGGCCTTAAAATCACCTCCCTGTGTCATGGAAGAAATATTGTTTTCCAAAAAATGATGCATTAGTTCTCATTGCCAAAATACATCGTTTTTCCCAAAGAAGACCCAAATTGTTTATTCAGCAGCACATCATTTTATAGGCATCTCTGTGCTGAAGAGCTGCTGCTTCTCCTGAAGCTGATTCAATGAAAGCATAAACAGGAACATAATTCTTCCAGACAATGYATCTATAATAGGGGTCAGAATTATTATGGGTATTAAGGCAGAAGGAAAAGGAACTGGAGCTGCACTATGAAGCATAACTAAGGAAACTTTATTCATTAAACTCCGAATCYGAGACCTTCAAAATTATGCCTTTAGTCAGCCTCCTGCTCCCTCTGCTGGACTATGTCCACTTAGAGTTCATAGAATCAGAATCATAATGGCCTGGATTGGTCGAAGTCTTAAAGATTATATAGTTCCAACCTCTCTGCAATGGGCATACTTGTAATTTTTTAGCCTTTCAGCTCTTTATCTTCTAACTAAAATACATGGACAACTGAACTACATGAAATAATGCAGTTTATTGTAGTTTTATTATGTGGTCCAAAATTATTACCTTCTTACAAAACAGCCAACAYACAATAAAATGAAATACTGTCAAGTAATCAAAAGAAAACATACTGTAAACACTGATTAATAAAAATTCCCAAAAGAAAAATATCCAATTAATGCCATTAAAATAGTTGTAGAGGTATTTGTTGTTTAAAACCACTTTGTTAAAATGCAGACATAGAGCTTCTGATTAAAAAAAAATAAATGACCTGAGTTGGAAAACAACCAGAAAAATCAAAGAGATGCAGGTTCTTACCAGTTCCTCTTTTCATTACGAAATGAGAATGCAAAACAACAGATTAACMAAAAAAATAAACCCTCTTTCAGTCCAGACGGGCTTTGCTACAGCTCAGTGCTCAGCCCCAGGGCAGGAATGAGGAAATACTCCACGCAGGTCAAAAGCTCTGCTAAAGTCAAACAATTCTGTATGTTGGCCCTTGGTCAAAACAAGGTTCCTCAAACAGCCACGGAATGAGCTCTTGCTTGTGAGGCAGTTTTGCTTCACATCAGCTGAAAAACAAACATGAAATATGTAAAATGTCTTTCCACCAAACTGAAAATATACAAAGATCCAGGTTATTAAACTTCTCCTCCCTCTGAAATGAGAGATCGACCAACATCCGAGGAGCACCAAGCTCCATTCATGTTTGGATGAACCGGGACATCCCAACATGAACAGTCACTGCTGCCTGCAGGCAGAACCCATGCACTGCAATGACTTGGCAGAGTCTGCAGAAACAGTTCTTCCCAGGGGACAAGGGAAGATGAGAGGAAAAAACAGAGGAGAAAGCCACTCTTCATGGGTGTWATTGAAGTTAGAATAGAAACTTGCAGAATATGAAACAACAGCTGAGCTGTGCAAAGTGACAAACTCCCTTGGCAAATCAAAAGGAAGCATGCATTAGGAGTCACTCTTGTGAGAGTGGGTGCAGGAGGGACAGAAGGGAAGGGAAATATTATTGTACYCACCAGGATAACCTCCAACATAAATGGGATTGTTGGTGTCTGCAGATGTTGAGTGGATGTAGGGATTATCAGTGTGAACCGAATGCCCATCAATTATCAGCGAAATGCGATGTTTGCTTTTGTTTGCTTGAAGCTTGTGCCATTTCCCATCACACAAACTCTTTGTGCCTCTTGGTTCGTATGCAGCAGTGATTCTGCCAGCTCCATTGTTGACGTGGAATAAAACCTGTACAAACAGCCAGATGCCAACAAAGATATAAAGTATAAATACATGAACTAATTWGCCTAGATAAAAGCACAATCATGCTGGTCCAGAGATTTCCGTTCTAAATGTTTGGCAATATGCAAGGTTAATGTTTACTTTGATGGATAGAGTAGATTCTTATAAAAGAATCTTTTTTTTTTTAATCTAAAGACTTAGATCTACCTATGCAATGGTCCACTGACACACTTCAAATTGTATTTCTTGCAACTACAAATCAAGATATTTTTCACAGAACCCGAAACTTCAGATCTGAAAGAAGATTCAGTGTATCTAACGGAAGAGAAAAAAARTGGCTTAAAAGCACTTGTCATTGCCAATAAATGTATTGATTTTTTTTCATGTATTTATTTTTCAAAGCAGTAGACATTTCCTCAACTTTGTGGTGAGGATTAATACATAAGTATTAACTGGGAAAGTATGTCCCACAGAAGCAGTGATATTTAACACTGTCTCTAGCGAGGAAGCTTTGAATAAAAAATGAGCTATTTCTGCAAAAACAAATACTTAAGAGCAATCAAGTGTACATTTTTTATGCAAGAGATGACTGAAGAACTATGTATTGATTGTTAAAAGGATGGAGCATAATGGTCAGTAGAAGTAGAGAGTGAGTTAATTGCTCATGAATATTGAAGAAGAGGTTACAAAACATTGTGTATTGTATATGCAATGTTTTTCTCAAGGACAAGGATAGCTTTATGGCAGAAAAAGTATTAAGCTATAAAAGAGATATATCTTTGGACTACACACAAGGTATGTAGTACAGTAGGTCAGAGTGGCTGCATGCAATCATAAATTACACTAATTAAAAATCCAGAAAGTTCCAGTAACTTCTGCTAATCACACATTTCATCATTTGATGGCAAAGAGAAACCTTGAGACTGAAAGTCYCATATTCATTTTGTGGGAAGTTGCCTCCATCACACTTCACTGGTGTGTATTTCATGCATTCCAAGAGCTTTAGCCTCCCAGTTTCAAACAAGCCTTGTGAAATGCATGTGTCTGCACAGGGCAGTCTACCTTGCCATGTACAATCTCCAGTCCAATGGCATCGACCTTGGCACTGCTGACCCCGAGAAGAACCCCGTGCGCCGCCGTCGTACGGAACTCCAGGCTGATGTTCACGTCAGACCGCACTTTGTAGCCTTCTCTGACTGAAAAGAAGTTAGAAGCTTCTAGCAGAAGACTTGCAACCCACAGTACGAAGTAAAATACATACATAGTCATTAAAAGGTGTAAAAAGCTTGTTAATTATGGTCCTGGAATATGACCTTGCAAAACCTCTGGAAAAGAAGCTTTCCAAACTCATAATACACATTTTCTACTGGAAAAGATAAATTTCCCAAATATGTTATTTTTCATTAATTCAGATTTAATCCATTCTATCTCATTTGTAAGAGACAGTAGARAACACAAATGTAATCCTTCACGTTATTTCACGGGTCTTTTGTCTCCATATCCTTTAACAGACTTTAACATCATGAACATGGATACTCTTAGCTGAAGAAAGATGTAGTTCATTTCCTTTCCAGTGCTAAAATCATTAGCTCTTTTATTTGTTTAAGACAGCCCTTTGCAGAAATGACCACTTTTGGATGTATAGAGTAAAGGGACTCAGAAATCCATATGCAGGGCACACACTCACTGTGTGAGGAGTCAGTTAATTACACACAGCTCCAGTAAGCCCTAAAAGGAGTATGTTTTCATTAACATTAATTCACTAAGGTACTGTTTTCATTYAGTGACACTTACCAAGAGCAGCAAAGCCACTTCCATCAAAGAAAGTCCCRTCCTGCACCGTTTCATAGCATTTATTCACACCAAAGATGGAGACAGGAGTCTCGTTGTCCAGTTTTTTGCTATTCATTGTCATGCTGCCAATGCAGGCAGGAATACTGTGAGTAACCTAAGCATATGGAAATATAAGAGATAATGTTCAGTATAAACCACTGCGATGCTCTCTTAGTGATTCACCACATGTTATTATAGATAAAACAGTATCTGAAGAAAACACAGCAGAATCGAAAATATTTACATAATTRAATTTGTATTATTACATGTAATTATGTAAGTTACATAATGCATAAGAGTCAAAACCACACAGTTTAAAAGCAGAGTATACACTGTATATAATATACAGAAAGGATTGTATTTGCTTGACTGTGAGCAGGGTTAAAAATATTCCAAACGCCCAATGGTTAAAAATRTTCCAAACATGCTTCAGCAAATGAGTAAATCAAGATGATGTATGGCATTTTGCAAGATCTCTTCATCAAAAAGCTTCATCTGAACTACTCCAGAGAGTGTCTGGGCACTGGCTCCCCAGGGAAGTGGTCACAGCACCAGCCTGACAGTGCCAGGGTGTGTTTGGACAGTGCYCTCAGGCACATGGGGTGACTCTTGAGRTGTCCTGTGCRGGRCCAGGAGTTGGACWCAATGATCCTTGTGGAACACTTCCAACTCAGGATATTCTTTAACACAATGAGAAATATTATCATCATCACTGGAATCCTCACTTAAATAATGGGCTGCACAAGGAGGAGCGTGAAAAAAACCTACCCTCTAAAAGCATGCATAAAATGTAT